TGCCGGATTGTTTGATGTGTGTGCGTGCGTGTGTTTTATTTTTGTGTCTGTTAGAGTGGTGTGCGCGTGGTGTGTGGGATGCGCCCTAGTCGACCAACGACGAGCCGCGCTTGGGACTTCAGCCCCCCAAGATGTTGGTTCGTGTGCGGGTCCGATAGGCGTATTACCACGCGTACCCCTTATGCTACAGCGAACGAGAAACGCGCTCGGCTGGTCCACCTCTGTGATTGCAACTGATTAGCTCTCGTAGTGTGGACTGGTAGCTCGGCGGGGATAGGCCCACCGAAGGTAGGTGACAACTCCCGTAAGGGGGAGGTAAGTTGTGCTTCGCGTAGGCCCTATCCTGTCGTAGGGGCTCGCGAGAGGTATGGTTGGCGCACTCGGCCGGAGCGGCCTAAGGAAGCTCCATTGGTGTGTTCGTGACGAGGTTGGTCCAACTCCTGCGTGACGCGGCCGAGAGGGTCCCGCGTTGCCACGTGCGGTGCCGGACCGATGCGCCCGACAGGTGGCGCCGTTGTCGGGGATAACGGTTGCCTACCGTTGTCCCTGGTGGAACGACATCCGGGTATTGGAATGTGAGAGATAGGCAAACTAAGAAGTTTCGCTTGACTTTCATGGTTAATCGATTGCTGGTATTGGATAAAGACTAAGTGAGGAGTGATTGTGCAAGCTGGTTCTGTTCGGTGCAGTAAGGATGGCTCGAAGGGGATAAGTTTGACTATGCGCCCACGTACGTTGACTATGCGCGCACGTACTTCGATTATGCATTTGCGTACCCTGACTATTACGGCGGTAGTTGGAGTTGATACCCCTTTTTTTGACCCCGATAGTTGACGGGTTTGGGCGGCGGTTTGCATGTTTGATACTACTAAGGTAGGATGGGGTGGTATCAGCAAAGCTAAATGTGGTGGTTGTGGGAGTTGGCCTTGTAAGGTGCCCATTATGGCTAAGGGAAACTACCTGAGTGATCAAGGGTATGATACAACACTTGGCTTTAGGGCGAGGCATAGAGTGAGTAAAGGAAGCCTATTGTGTTAGAAGTCATCAAGGGACCTCTGGAGGAGTTAGGTTAGGGATGTCGAAAGCTTGTACGAGTGTGGATTGGGTTCCTCGAGTTTGGGTTTTAAGCAGTCGTTTGGGTTTTATAGCCAGGGAAGTCTGAGGCCTGTCCTGTGTGGCATGTTTGGGTTAGGCGTATAAGGCAGTGAAGAGATGAAGTGAGCACCGTGGTAAGGCCCCAATAGAAAGGACAACGGGAAGGAGTAGACTTGCATGACACCTGTTAGAGGTGGGTATCTGATCTTAGAGGTAGTCAGAATAACAGTGAGGGAGCTAGCGCTTGGACTATTCTACTTACCTTTAATAGGGCAATGAGTTGTAGTTGATGTTTAGCCTCCGCATAAACCGTTCCAGGCTTGGACCATCCACCTAGGAAGCTAAAAGACTTGAGATCAATTGTTTAAAGGATGTCATTTTGAATTGTATATTGGACTCATCTATAAATGTTAGACCTTGTAAGCTTAGTTACGCCTAATTATGTGGAGTTATATGTTTAAGTAGATACCTCTTTAGGAGTATTCCGTGTGGATTATTCTATTGAGGTTATATTTGGGATCTTATCAGTCTGTAAAAATTTATATGAATGTTTCCAGTCCAGCATTTGGCTTATGGTTGGTCACTAAGTCTGTATGTTTGGATCGCCCTTTCGAGAGGGGTAGGGATTGTCAGCTTAATAACGGAAGGCGCGTGCTGGACGTTTGTCTGTGATGGGCAGAACCCAGACAAAGCAAAGGCAACTCAGGATGCCTTATGCACGGGAAGACCCGCGTATGCTCGCACCAATCGAGAAAGAGAGAGGGCTCGAGGTGTCTTTACCCAGGCGGGTCAGAGCAGGAGAGTACCACTCTTCATGGTGGGTAATGTTGATGGGCACGGACATCTTTGTCTGGATCGAGTCTGGGTTTGATGACGAGCAGGAGTGTGCGATTGTAACGGTAACGTTGTACGCCTCGCTCTCATTCTGGATCGAGCATGAGATAGAGTTGGCGCTTGGGCATGGAAGCCTGCTTGCTAGGCCTCTAAGGGTAGCCGAGGCAGTTGCGGCGAAGTGGGCGAGGGAAGTGTCCCGTGATGGGGAAGAGCGAGTACTAACCCGCGTAAGGGTCGGACGCGCTGGAGAGTTCGGGCTTCCATCTGCTCCACTGCGAGTAATCCTGGCCGAGTTTCTAATCGAGAAGAGTTTTGGTGGGCGGGCGATGGTAGAGGCAGCAGCCAAAGCTGCTCTGAGGGCGTGAGATTGGGAGTATGGACGATACACATGTGAACTGATATATGGTGTATACCTAAACCTGAGATTCCTGCCCTCTAGTCAGTGGCTCAAGAACACGGCCAATACACTGGACGTATCATCTCATGATCCGAATGAGGGAAATGTAGACTGGGAGGAGATTCGGGCAGAAGTGGGCCGATAGGGGGATGCCGTTCGTTTCTACTAAATGCGTTTCTTTTGACTTGGTCGGAGTCGTCTCTCTGCCCATTATCGTAGTTATGAAGGTAAGCATCAGGGTAACTAGGGGTTGAGGCCTGATTGCATGAGAAAAAGGGGTAGGTGGCGAGATTTAAGTATTAGCAGTTTACCTTTGTCTGCCCAAGCTTACTTAAATCACTTTTGGTGATCTATTCCCCGTTTAGTGAAGATTTTGAGTGGTTTAGCTTGGCTATTGTAGTGGAAACAAAAAAAGCCACCAAATACCGAAAAAATGGCAGTTCTTTACAATTTGATAAAAATGTTGTTGTAAGTTTAATACGTCAGCTTTCAAAACAAAAACTGAATTGGAATTAATCGCTGAGTATGCCTAGCAGACTGCTGTCAGCATCATGGCGGGAGAAAGCGGCTTCGCCAAGATCCTGCTTTGGAGGAATTCGTGCCTTTTGAAGGTGCACGAAGTGTTGCAGGCGTCAATGCCCCCAGATCTCCGCGTCCTGCTGTTCCAAGGAAGGAACCTATCCCGCTTTCTGCGTGACTTTCAGGATTTCAGTCTTACGAAGATGTGGGACAAGAAGGCAATGTGGTACTTGTTCCCGTTGTTCGTTTGTGAAGGACTAAGTGAGGAGGTGTACACCCTCACGTTGAAGTCGCAAACCTGGGATGAGCTGGAAGTTTCTCTGAAGTTGAGGTTCCCAGAGGATGAGGTGGAATGCAGGCTTGGTAAGGGCCCTAAGCAGCCAGCCGAGGCCGCGTCAACGCAAGGAGAGTTGAGTGGTATACAGAGGCAAGTTGGGATGTTGGAAAAAAAGTTGACGCGATTGGAAGAAGCCAGGCATGGCAAAAGGAAGGCCTCCGAGGGAGTATCGAGTGGGCCGACTGCGAGAGGCGAAGCAAAGGCAAGGATGGATCATCAGGAGCCACTCCCCCACAAGAAGACCCCGCGAGGACGAGCTTGCGTCCCGGAAGGAGATGAAGGTGAGGGGGTCATTGAGCTCAAGGAGGAGCGGGGAGACAGTGCGGTCCTGCCTGTCATTGCGCCTGATCCGAAGAGGGGGCTTATCAACGTGGAAGCATCCGCGACTGTAAGGTGGAGGGAGCAAAGGTGTGAGTGGTGGCCGGCCAGAGCACTGGGCGAAAGTGGTATGTGATCGTTGGGGAAAGATTGGTCGCACCCCTCAAGGAGGCAAGGAAAAGGGGGTGATGGGTGAAAAAGGGGAGCCTGCACCCCCAAAGTTGACGAAGGCTCAGCGGAAGGCGAGGAATCGGGCCCTGGGGAGCCAAGGTGTCAGAAAGGGGCAGGGCGTGCTGCAGGGAGGGTTCACCCCGCAAGAATTGGGAGCAAAGCTAGCACAGGCGGGGCCCCCACCGACTGAGCAGGCATTATACGGGCCATGGACGCCATACGGTCAGGTGGGACCAAGGCCCATATATGGTCCATATCTGCCCTGTGTACAAGGCGTTTGTTTGGGCCCACAAATGGGTATGATGCCACCCAGACCTCCTACAGTCCAGTTTCAGCCAGCCCTGTGTATGAGACCATTGCAGCTGCCGATGCCACAAGGGGCACAAGGCCCAGGGGCCGGTGGAAGGGGTCAAAAGCGAAAGGCTGAAAAAGGTCGTAGGGATGAGGGGCACGAAAAAAGGAAATGCAGTGGCGGCAAAGGTGGCTCTGGCGGAAAGAAGATGGGTCTGGAAAGAGACATTTGCAGACATTGTGCCAAGGAAGGGCACATAATGAAGTTTTGTCGAGAACGAAGGGCCGAAGAGGCAAGCGGTCTAATAAGGACTGACATTGAGGGAAATGTTTTCGACAGGGCCGGGGAGCGTATCGACCCAACCATCCCTGGGGGAACACGGAAGGAGGCTTTGCGGCGAGATGGAGCGTCGAGCACTGCCTCATGAATGTAGTTGTGAAGGAGAAGGGTTTGTGTGAGAAGGGCCTGTAAATTTAAGCAGACAGTAAATGCAAGCGAGAAATCCCAATCGTATAGCTGTTGTAGAAAGGCACAGCGTACAAAGGGAAGGGATCTTCGTAATAATGGTCCGGTAAGGTAGCTCGAGTTGTAGGCAGGAGGAACCCCAATAGAATAACTGTATATATGGGGTATGTTAGATCTGCCCCACATCGTGCTATTGGGATATCTCAAGTAGATGAGGCAAGGAGTGACCCTGAGGGCATTGTTACGAAGTAGGGATTTGTTCCATTAGGCCTATTGACTGAGAGAAGAAGGTATGGGACCTACGTCGTGTCCAAGCCCGAATGGTTGTATAGGTGTGAGTGGTAAGAGAGGCTCGGGAAGAAACCTCAGCGTGGGGGAGATAGGGCATCTAGCCTAGGGAGGAAGTTGCAGAACTGGTGTATGGGCGGCTCCTAGCCTTACTTTTCTTTGGATATCTGGATATGTCCTGGGTGGCTTGGGTCCCTCCGACTTGAGGGGTATGGCTATGTCCTGGTCGCAACTGTTTTAGCTTTTGCCTTTGGCCAGGGAGGCCGCATTGTTCTTGTGTGATACCAGTGACGATTTGAGTTGAGATTGTTCAACTCCGAGTGTATATATATGTAACCCGAGAACATTTGGCTCGCGCTTGAGTTGGGGTGTTGTACCCCTGGGTATATATTGAGTTGAGTTGAGGCTTTATCTGAGACTATCTTTTGTATATGACGATCACAATCACTCTCACATGTGTAGACTTTATTCTGATGGATGATGATTTTGTGTGGATTTTGTGAGAATGAATGGATGTGAACTGCCTACTCTTCGGTATACTCGTGCGGTCGGCTTACGAGCAAGGCAGTGCCGAGTATAAGGAGAGGGAGTGCAGTCTGTTATTGTGAAAGCGTGAGAATCCTAAGGTATTTGGCGAGTCTCTGAGACTCGAATACTTACCATGCCGGATTTTTTACGGTTGAGTTGCGAAGAGGGCCCATAAGCAGGTCCCTCAGTTTGAGTTGTTTCGTGGTTGAGTTGTGGAGAGGACCCATAAGTAGGCCTCTTAATTCGAGTTGTTTTATGATTGAGGCCCCTTCAGTTTGAGGAAGGCAGTAGTGTTGTTTATCGGAAGACTCATCTCCAGAAGGGAGGTGTTTTAAAAAGGGGTCGTGTGATAGCTCATCCTAGAAAGAGAGGGATGGCTGGGAGACCTATTGAGAGAGACCTCCTTCATGCGAAAGGTGTTTAACAAATCTAAGGGCATGGTAAGCAGTGTTTGAGTTGATAAAGCCTGACGAGAGGAACCAGAACTATAGACTGGATCATTGGTGGAACTGAGAAGGTCGCAAGTCAGTGCATTAAGATGTCGTGGGATGCTTGGGCTGCTGTCTCTGATCAAGTCAGTAGGCCACGGCCTTGTGTATGAGTCTGGCGGTGAATCTGTTTGTGATTGTGAAAAGGGGCCAGGTTCCCTATGTTGTCCCGTAGGGAACTGGTAAACGCCTTTAAAGTGAGACAGACCCCTGCGTAGTCCCGTAGTGGGCCTGTGGTCTGTTTTGCGACCCACCGTTCAGACACTTGTGCTAATCCCAAAGCATATTGGGGAATACCAAGCTAAATGGTAAAGGTTAGCACCTCTAGGGCGCAACCCCTATTGGATGACTGCAAGCCACCACAACTTGGCTGCGGGCCCACGTCTACCAACGGGGTAAGAGTTTAAGGGGTCATGCACGCCTTAGGAAAATTACTCCGGTGGGATGGCGGGGGATGTGAGTCGAGACTTTGGGTAATCCTGATTGAATGCTTATCAAGAGAAAGCCTATTGCTGCGTAACCAACGAAGGAACTGCCGTTAAGCTAACAATGCGGCAGGCCGTAGATTTGGCTCGATCAACCGGACTATGGTGGGCCAGGATGTGGACCTAGCATTTCTGTACTAGACTGCAGAAAGAGTTGGGAGGAGATTTATATATATATATATATATATATATATATATATATATATATATATATATATATATATATATATATATATATACGTTTGATTGTGAGAATTTTTACGAGGAAGGCGAAAGTGTCTTCTGAGGTCTCATTTAAGGCCCGCGTCCCTGGGGATGACTCTGCTTACGAGAGAGAGTCTAGCCGGGACACTCAACGAGAAGTCGGCGTTTGTCTAGGGCGAAGGGGAGAGGACGGTTTGAGGTGGCCTTTGGAACTTATGTTGTAGTATCGACTCGTAATACACCGGCGTCCTAGTGTTAGGACAATGGAGACCCAGGTTAAAACCCTGGCAGCATATAGTTGTGTGGGCACAGATTGTTGGAGACCTCGAACCTTAGTCTGTCGGCTAATCGGATTGGTTCCTCTTTCGTCAGCATCTTGGGTAATCTGATAGCGTTTCGATTTTGCGAAGCGACGGGGACGTCGCTTAATGTGGTCCGGTAAGCTGTCGGCGCGAATTCCCTTACAAAGGTATCCGCCCTCGTTTTTGCAAGTGACAGAAAACAAGTTTGACCAAGAATTGTTGAGGAGGCCGCGCAGCTTGCGGCAGTGTGGTGACTATAGGTTGGCTAGGAGGTATAGAAGTAGAGAGTGCATGGGCGCGCAGGGTTTGAGGCGCGCGGGATTTCTTTCCTTGTCGTTGATTATAAAGTCGGCACGGACGCCGACCGGTTTAACTTTGTTTTATTTTTATTTATTTATATTTGATTAAGAAGGAATTAGGGATATTTTCGGTTGATTGGTACGTTTGACCGAGGCGAGCGTGCGTGCGAGGACGGCAGCGTCGACGACGACAGTATGACTGCAATAGGTCTTGGCACGTGGGGTGGCGCGAGTGGCGGCCGTGGCACACCTTAGTAAGTCGGCGCAGACGCTGGGCGACCGCGCGCACGGTTGTAGGCAGGGGTGAGGCTCAGGCCCATTTCCCTGGCCCTGAGCATAGTGCCGCACCGCCTCATATGGCACTCCGCGGATGTGGGTCTTAGGCTTGGGCTTAGCCCTATAGGTTACGACATTAGGTTGACGCTATGAAGGTTCGGGGATCGAGGCCAGCAGCCGTCGGCGCAGCAACTGCAGCGGAACGTCGTGGAAGGAACCGATGGTGTCGAGGGCCGCCAGGGCTATCCCCCTCGATTTTATTTGCGGGCGCGGCGGCGGGCCCGGCCCGCGGGGGCTGGCGAGGCGCCATTTTTATTTCCCTTATCTGTGTTATTCGTCAGCGAGGGGCTGCGGTAGGAGCGCGTGGGGGTGCGTTGTATTTGCGGGGTCGCCTGAAGTGCAATTACAAACTGTGTTCGTAGCCACGCCGGAGCCGCACCCGACACCGTTGCCTAGGACGCGGTGCAGTGGGTGTGGCAGGCACCTAAGAGCCTAGCTCAGAGGGTACACCCCTGAACTGCTGAAACGCTGACTAAGGCGGACCTGGCACGAATCCGGGCCGGGTACGTGCGCGGAGGGGAAAGGCTGAGGCCACGTGGCCTTTGGGGGGGGGCCACGGGGCATGGCCCCTTCGGGACATCCGTTAAAATTGGAACGATACAAAGAAAGTTAGCATGGCCCGGCGCAAGGATGGTATGCGTAGGTCGGGGAAGGGCCCGACAGCCACGCATTTTTCTTTTTTTATAACACCTGAGGGCTATAGGGCCATGCCGTGTTGAAACGGAGGAGTGAACCGAGTCGGGTTAGTGCGCGGGGATGCACTCGGCGTAGGAAGGAGTGACGGGGCAAGGGCGGATAGCGGAGCGAGCCACAGACCAGCTAGCTCCAGAAGTATAAATCGGGAGGTAGCGCCCGGCCACTCGTTCACTCCAGCGGGAGCCATGCGGAAGCGCTGCCACCCCGGTCCGTGCTAGGAGGACTGCAGTATGCCCGAAGGCCGGAGCGGGCAGGGAGGCTGACAACGGAGCGGAGCGACCTGCGGGGCCGGGCATAGCAACGAAAGAGGGTTTGAACCCGGCGCAGATCTGGACTGGGTGCATTGGAGAGAGAGACAGTGAGGACGGCAGCGGGTGAGCCGGGAGCTGGCGGAGAGGGAGCAGGCCGATGGACAGGCCACGGTGAGGCGGAGCGACAGTGCTGAGACAGAGCGGGGCCGACTGAGGGATGGACATAGCAACGAAAGGGGGAAAACGGGGCGGAATGAACCCGGGCGCAAATTCGCCCCGGGTGCATTCGGGACATGGGGGAATGAAAATGGCGGGGCGAGGAGTCGGGCGCAGCTAAGGACGCATCGTGCTCTCGATCCTGGACGGAACCGAGAGGGAGAAGGGGCATTCCCGGGGGCTTGACCCCAGACGAGTCAGACCGTAGTGTTAGCTTTAGCTATGGATTAGTAAGATAGGCAGTTAGTGAAGAAGATGGTGCGCCGGGATATGGTGGAGAAGAGAAGAAGGTTAGCTTTTTCGCTCGTTTGTGCACGAAACCGAACGGGACGAGGGTGATTCTAAGGGTTTTGGTAGTGGGCGACCCTGTTTATCGAGTCGGATTACTGGGAGAGTTAGTGGTTAGGAAGTTAGGAAAGAAAAGGATCGCGCCAGAGATGGCGATGGATGGAAAGAGGGGAGGGAAGGAAGTGTAGATCTCACCGTTTCCTGACGAAAACGGGTGGGAGAGAATTCAAATCAGGGGCTTTGAGGGAGCGCGAAGTCGGCGATGAAGTTAGTTTTGAGATGAATTAGT